AGGATGTTCAGTCAACCCTTTAATGACAAACAGCTGTAATAAAGTCCGGGCTTCCTACAAGTCAAAATAAATTTTGCCACCAAGCCAACGGGAGCCAGTGCTTCAGCTCATGTAGCTGGGAAATGACAGGGTGGAGAGGACCCACGTGGTAAATTTTCTCCTCCCAGTTGAACTTTGCTTCTTCTTCCATGACTGTCCTTTCTTTTCCCGCCTCCATTGCGACGCTGCGTGCCACTGCATCTTTTCACAGCAGCTGGCATTTTACAGCAATAAGAAACAATCCTTGTAAAATACCATTTATCTAGCCCCAAGTGGGAAACTTTCAAAGGCTGTCTTCACTCTGATTATTTGGCTTCATAAGCCCAGGAGACAAATGGCCAGCTGAACTTCAGGGTCGCTCACATTCTTGCCACTTTCGGTAAGAAGGGAAGCTAAGGCTGAGGATGGGCCCTTGTGTAAACCTCTGGTTGGTCACTGAAATCGTTGAACCATCCAAAAAACACACATGACTCTTTACCTCCTTCACCATTTTTAAAATTTTAATTCCTTCATTCATTCTGGAGACAAGCATTATAGGAAAACTGCAGTAAGCTGTTTTCAGGGCAGCTACATGGTTTTTTTTAAACTTGTTGGCATCCCAGTAAAATCCTGACCTGCCAAGGGCATTTAGCCCTGCATCTTGGTCCTGTATGAGGTCCAAGTTTTGCAGCTATTAAGCAGCAGAGCTGATAAATGCTGTGATTTAGAGGTTGCCTAATGGAATCTTTTGCCCCAGAAGACGTGCAGAGCCAAATCCAGTGTGATGCTTAAGGAAAAATGGTGAGCTTTAAAAGTAAAGTGTTGGGCTGAAGGTGAGTAGAGGCGCGGCTGCCAGACCTCAGCCAAGCCTGGCTCGGGGTTTAGGGGCAGCTGCTTTTTCTGTGCTGAACACACGCACTTGACCTGGCACGAAAATCAGGCTGCTGGTGAGGGGCAGGATGAGCTGTGGCCTGTCCCCTAGCGCCTTCACCTCGAACAGCAGGGAGAACAGGAAGGAGCAATGCCCCTGGGAAGAGGATCTCAGGGGATAGAGGGTCTGTTGAAGGAGAGAGATGAGCTAATAGTGAGATTTCCTTCTCTACTCCACTAGGTTGGAATAAACTTGGCCTCAGATCAGCATCCTACAGGTGCAATTCATTACCACTGGGGAACTGTTGGATTAAGGATGCAAACAAATCTTGTGATCCTCTCCCACCTCCCATTCACTGACTCCAGAGGGTGCTCTCAAAGCTCCCCAAATGGTGGGAGGTCAGATGAAGATGTAGATCCTCATTGTGAACCACATATATAACCATATGTATATATAGCATACACTGAGATGTAAAGCCTGTTTGTGAAAAGGAGATAATAACAGAGACTTTCAACAGAGATGTAGAAAGTGTCCTGTAGAGAAGAATCAGGTGTGCCTGGCTTAGCTGCTCTGTAGAGGCTTTCTCTGGCATTAACTCATTAACTCACAAATGTAGGGCAGTCAAATCACAGGTTTGTCCTCACCATAACAAGAACACACCAACTGAAGTGGGTCACAGACAAACTTAGGCCCCCAGGCTTTGCTGTCCCATCTGTGAGTAACACCTGCAAGGCTGGGTTCCTATCTCAGGGATGTGAATTTGGGGGATGCCGTTGCTTAGCGCTGAACAGGACTCTGCCTGTTGGGTGCTGCTCCCATACCCACAGCCATGACCTCAAAGCAGCTCTGTCCTGTCTGAACCTCAACAGCTATGACTGAAGTCACCAACAAATAAATTTATTGCTGTACCTGCTGACTCCACATGCCGAGACAGCACCCAGATGCTGTGGATTCGCCTGTATTAAAAAATACTTTCAAAAGTTAAAACGGAGCTTAAACAAGACTGAAGCAAAGTATGCGCAGGCCAGATCCTAAATATAGTTGGAATACCACCCCTTAATTGGCTGTCAAGTCTCTCCAAACCAAATGCTTCTTAAAACGCCTTTTTAGCTGTTGGTAGAAATTCAGCTCAAGTATAAAACAAATTGAGTTGTTTTTCAAAATACATTTCCAGAAGTGGATATGGGCACACAGAAAAAAAGCTACCCTTGTAGCTGCACATTTGATTCTCTTAGACTTTGAGAAGTTGCTGTGTAAGACAAAAGGCAGAGACTACCCAGCGACCTCTGCTAGCATCTTCCTTTTTGGGACATGCTTTTAAAACCCATACGTAACCATCAACTGACAGGAAAATGGTGTGAAAGTTTGTCATTGCCAGTTCTGGTCATTTGCACCAAGTACACTGAATGAATTCCGTGTTCTGCTTTGCTTGTGTGCATGGCTTTTGCTTTATCTATTAAACTGCCTTTATCTCAAGCCATGAGTTTTTGCACTTTTACCCTTCTCATTCTCTCCCTATGCTGGCTGGGGTAAGTGAGCAAGTGGCTGTGTGGTATTTAGCTGCTGGCCAAGGTTAAACCACGACACAGTTTTCAAACTGCTCCTGCAATACTGATCCAGATACTGATTTACAGTACCTGAAGATATTGGAGGGGGTGGTGTTAGGTCTACTACAGTGAAGTACAAATAGATTTTAGTACTTATAAATGTCCCAAATCTCCTCCCTGTCAGATAAAATAATAAAGCAAAGATACTTCCCCAAACAGCTTCACTTAAAAGCTCGAAAAACAGCTGCAGCGTATTGATTTTTTTTTGTAACTGAGAAATTCAGTTTCTAAATTCTAGACCAGATCACTCTTGGCTGTCTTTCAGGCAGATTCAAGATGCCTGTAACAACTCCAATGGCACCAAGGAAAGCAAAGTATAAAGGACAACACATGAAGCAACACAAAAGCCTTGAATTTCTATTTAAAGTGACTTTATTAAAACATTGTTAATATAAAATGTGACCAAGTACAATTTTTCTTTGTAAGAATGTTTAATAAAAACATATTAAAGAAAGAAGGAGCATCAACTCTTTGTCAGGAAAAACCTACCAGGATAAGTAAAAAGTTCTGCAGCATGTTCTACCAGCTGGTCCCAATGTGTGTTAGGGTCGAGTTGGCCGATGAGGGGATAGACAGGCAGCCCAGGCTCTTCCCTAAGAAGCTTTAATGTATTTAGCAGAGGTTTAAAATAACGCTCCTCAACAGCAGGAAACTTTGCTTTCAGATCTCCCCGTATCAAAGCAAGATTAGAACATGCATCTTCACATTGGATCTAACACTTTTCAGCAGCTGAATGTACAGAAAATCAGGTTCACTGCTAACTGTGAAACCCAGGGTTAACATTTGTCAGATTTTAAAACAAGGTGCAAGTCAGTATTAATGATACACCTAAAGAGTTTGTGCTGAAGTTGTTCTAAGCTATATTAATGCCAGATGTTTGTAGCAAATGCTAAAAAAGGTCAGCTAAGAAAAAAACAGGAGTAAAGTCCAGGCCGGTAGAAACAGCAAGTATTTTCTGACCTCCTGAATGCAGAGACAATATCCACAAATTACAGGAGTTTGCACATCTCAGGAAGCACCTACAGAAGCTTTCTGAAGTCTATAAATAAGGCTATGCAATGACTTAATACTCTGTGGCAATCTTCTCCATTAGGTAGGAAAACTTTTAAGAAAACACTAGAAAAACTGGAGGTTTTGGGACTGGTGGTTCTATTTTTCAATTATTTTTTGGGGGGGAGGAGGAAAGGGGGTTTCTTACAGCATTTTCCTTGATCAGCAAGTAAGTTTTAATGCTCTATCAGCATCCTCTGCGTGTTCAGAGCAAGCAGCTCACCAATGAGCAGCAAGGATTCTCCCAGGATATCCCAAATTTCCTGTAATAGCCAGGAGAAAATCCTGCGGCATCCAATTCTGTACACGTGACTGCCCTTGGCTCTGGACCAAACATCAAGTGCTAATCCATGAGAAGCCCAGCACAATCCTGGTCTAGGAGATGGTGACCTTCTTCTAGCCTTGGCTGGGACCCATGAGACCCATCAGAGCCCTGTGCTTTGCCTTCTACCCCAAGCAAATGCTGTAGTACTATTGCTGAGGCAAAGGGAAAGGTCAGACCTTTGGCATTGGAGCAGACCAGTCACTGGCTGTGCGCAGGGGGAATTAAGGCTTTGAGGTGAGGTAAACACAGTGAGAGTCAGTGTGTAAACCATGCTGCATTTCAGAGGCGACAGGTTCAAACGACAGCTACTCTTGTTCTCTACATTTTAAACACCAAACACAGATCATCCGAAAGCAGAGCTGGAGGCAGGTCTGCTGAGAGCCACCTGGAGGTGCCTCCCTGCACCTCGGGAACAAATGCTACCCAGATGTTGAACGCTGTAGAAAATGTACCCACGAGGAGGAAAAAGCACCAAAGTCAATGAGTCCTTGAGACAATAAGCTGCTTAAAAAACAAAGAAGCCTTATACTGCTATGACCTCCCATAAACGTAGTAGTTTCCTGACACAAAGGTAATCTACGCTCCAGCAACTCCCAGTGCTGTACATCCAGCACTGCTGTTACCAAGAGTTATGCTCTAGTAAGGAGGCAGTGAAATCATTAGGGGTTGTGTTCCCTGAAGATGGTTTCTCCCATTCCTTAGGTGTCATCCCATTCCCCTCCACCCACTCCCAAGTCTTTAATCCAAAGGCCAGAAACACCTGTCCTGTCCCCCAGGTCATTTTTCTAATGCTCTTACATTATTTTAGCAGATTTGTAGGGTACAAACATGGTGCTTCTTTGGATCCATCATTTTGGCAACGCCTTTGCCCTCTCTTCAAAAGAAAAGTGTTCTCTACTAGGTGGTACAAAAGTTACTTTCAAACTAAACGAAATACAGAAATCAACGCAATTCTTCCGTATGCTTATTCTTCATACTGTTTTTGCTTAGTTATCTGAAGTATGGAATTATTTGCTCATTTGGAACCATGGCATCTGCAACACTGTTTCTTACAAGCCGTGCTAGCAAAGTTTTGATTAAAAACAGCAATCTGGTCCTGTAGGTTCCATTTCTAGGATGCAGAGACTCTCATTTGTTTTTCTTTAACATGGATATAGTGACTTCTCTCATCCTCTCAATACAGTAAGCTACTAAAAAATTAAACAGAGATTAAAAAAATACCCAAATGAAACCACACTTCTATCACTGTTTAAAAAACAAAAACGCATATGGTATTACAAAAGTTTATACAAAGGCAACATTTAAGAGTTTGAAAGTTACTTCTAGAAAAAGACACAAATGCTAGTAAATTAACATACAAGGAGAAAGACATTCCACTCCTTCCCCAAAATTGGTTTGACCTATTTTGCACTACCATTTACCAGTTGTCTAGAAAATCAAAGCCAGTCTTCAACATAACATTGCTTGTACTAGTCTGCAAGGAAAAAAAAAGAAACAAGATGTGGTTGTTAATTACAGTATCACAAACTCAGTACTTGACTATCTACAAAAGAAAGATAAAAATGTAGTCTGCCAATATTTCAAGTTCTTCACCTTGCTCTAGGATACCTAAGAACCTACACTAGAAAATGCTAGACATGGAATAATACTCACAATGACCAAAGAGGCAGTTCCAGGTAAAAATAAAGTTCTTGTAGTGGTCTGCAGGCAAAATATTACCTTTTTCCCCATGGAAAAATTCATAAAGATCAGTTTTTAGACTAGAATGGGAATTGCAGAGAATGAAACAAACACAGAATGTAAGCATCACTAATTCAGTGGATTGCCTGCTGCAGTGACAGCCGGGTGTTTCTATTGCACTCTCTTCTCTGCTACTCTGTTCACATTTTGATGTCAAAGGATTGTTTCTCCACAGGGAAAAAAATTAGGCTTTTCAAACTATTTCAGTTACCTAGAAAGCATTCACAAAGGAATTAGAACTGTAACAAACCATTAATTTGTAGGAAAATATGACTAAGCCTTGAACTAGAATTAAAGGACTACTGGAGTCACCATTTGTAGCAAAAAAGCTCCAGAAGCATTATGTCTTAGCTTCAGAAAGAAAGTAATTCAACATAGGGCTCCAAAAACTGAAGTGGTTTAAGTACTGCTCTCTCCTAAGTGCTGCCAGTTACTTCTCTTGCAAGTATTTACTTCATTCTGCATCTTTCTGACCTTACATCATCTTGTTCGGAATTTAAACAATCGCTGTTGGGAAAATATGGTAGAGAAAAACCTATGCAGGATGCTTAAGGTGTACAGTGGTACATCAGGCTTATGCCAGTGATGCTACAGACTCCAGACTGAACTGCACAGCTCAAGCTTCAGATCTCTTCCTTTTGTTTCCCTCTCCATGTCATATCCTGTTGTTCTCTTCCTTTTCTCTCAGAGCAGCATCTGCTTTTTATATAGCTTCAACTGGCCACTGAGCTGCCTAAGGGTATTTTTGCTGTTGGGTTGTTTGGGTTTTTTATTAAAAAAAAAACCAAAACACAACATTGAGAAGGCTAATTCTGGAAGCTCATTCCATTTCCATTTTGGACTTCAAGAGAAAAGACATTTGAAAGCAGCCCAGCTGCCTGGGACAAGGCACTGGAAAGTGGCTGTTGGGCTGCCACTTAAAACAGCTGGGAAACCAGTTTGCCATTCACCGCTATGTTGTGTGTACCGATAAAGTATCCTAGACTCCAGTTTATCAACTTTTCAAGTTTAAAAAAGTTTTAAAATTTTTTTCCCCATTAAGTGTTCTGCTGTTTCAAGAAAAAGAACTCAAACAAAAACTCTTTTACTTGATAAAGCAACTGCTCTACCCCAAACGGTTAGATAGCTTGCTGTCAGTCAGCCACTGCATGCCATGTCAGAGTTTCTGGTATATTTAAATAATGTCCTTATCCTATGCACTTCACTACATTTAAAAACACTTGATTGAAACAAAAAGTAGCAGTTAACATGTTGGTTACATAGACTTCTTCAAATATACAGGATAAAAAGCCAGCAAGCTTAGCTATGGCTTAATGCTTTCTGGAGTCCCTAATCTGCCAGAGTGACTTTGTCAGATTTTAAAGTGCTATACATTTTTTAAATCTAAGACAGTAGATTTAGCAGTCCTTACCTGTGCAGGCATTTGTGGATCTGTAAGTATAGTACCATCAGTATCTTCCTTGTTTGTCCTAGAAGATGCCAGGTCCTGTGGTGGGTCAGGAAGAAAGAAGTCATCTAGAGAGCTAGCAGGGAGCTGAGTTGGTCGAGGTTTCTCCCATTCAAGAGATACAGAAGGTAGGCTGGGGGCGACTGACTTCTCTGGTTTGGTTATGCTGGGCTTCTCAGCTTTTGCCATTTCCTTTGAAGCAGACTCTTGTCTGTAAAAAGAGGGAAGGGGTTTCTCTCCTTTCTCCATGGACTTGATCTGGCTGGGGGTCAAGGACTGGAATTCAGACTTGTCTCCTTCAAACTTGGAGCGCTCAGCATTTATCTTCCAGAAAGAGGACTCCTCTTCCTTCCTAGGTGCTATCAACCCGTCAGAGGCAGGGGTCTTGATGGCCTGAGAAGATTTAGGGACTTGGACACCAGGTGCTGCTTTAACGGGCTGCCTCTGTTCACTCTGTAGCTGGGCACCACCTTGTTCTTGGATGGACAGAGATGCAACGCTGAACTCCATCTGACTCTGTTCAGGGTTAAAGACAAATGGTATTTCAAAGCCCTTCACAAAGACACAGTTTTGAACTTCCAATCTTGATGCATATAAGTAACACCTTTGCCCATGGCTAGGCAACTCCAGACAGCAGATGCCACCGCAAAGCTAACTTATTTTCTCCATAAATGTCTATCTCTGTAGCTACATAAACCAAACAATTTTTTAAAGTCTGAACTGCAAGCAAAAGTTAGAGTCCTAGACCTGCTGCAGAGGAGTCAGAGAAATCAACCATATTCGAGTTACTCAGTGCCATGCAAGATAGCAGTGCATAGCATGCACAGCACTAAAACATTAGAATAGTGGCACAGAAATGTTAGAGGAATTATGGATGCAATTTGAAAACCATGGATGTTTTACATGAAAATATAAAGCAAAAAAAGCTTTACAGTGTAGCTTAAAAGGCAATCTTCCATTATAATCCTTGAAATAGTTGGCAGCATGTTACAACTCCATCTACTTTCAAGACAAAGGATTAGATGTAATGGATGTGCATAGATAAGTGTTTTTTTAAATTCTAATGCCCCTCTGAAGGAAGAGAAACAGCTCCAGCTGGACCAGTTCTTCACTTACTCCAGAGCCTTGTTTTAGTTTTACTTGCAGTGTGGGTAGCTGTACTCATTTCTGAGAGGTAACACTGGGTCAAGGAAGCAAGTGACCACAGTTAAAGCATGATACAGATCTTGCAAAAGCCACCCAAACGCAAACAACACTTCAAAATGTTCATTTTATTTACTGCCACTTCATCAAACTTGATTGCCAACTAGCTTGACGCTCCTTAGACTAATGAAAGTTAAGCCTTGTTTCACCCTAGGGAACACATAAGCATTACCATATTTAGGAGCACAGTACCACAGCAAGTGCCAGAAAAGGACAACCTAATGTCTAGACTTTTGTTTGTAAAGTGGAAAAAACAATGCAATTAAAAAAACAAAAACCCAACCCAAAAACCCTGAAAACTGCATTTACTGCTAGAGCTATGCTATTGTCATTACAGGCCTGACTAGTTTGGAAAAAGTTGAGAAGACATTTCAAATACTAGCTTTTGCTACAAGCTGTTAGTAGATACTTTTGAAGTTTATTACAGATTTGTGATGTTTCCACCATTCTACTTCATTACCTGGCCTTTCCTGAATAAAACCGCTACAACATCTATGGGCCTGAGTCTAGCAAGCCCTAGCTGCATATCATTTTCACCAGAAGCGTTTGATCTCAAGTCCTACATTATTGCGCCTGTTAAGTTCAAAGGGACTCCAGATCTACCATGTCTCACATGTTTAGTATTTAATATTCAGAAACTTCTCATCAAAGCACAAATGTTAACTCAGCAAGTGATTATTTACAAAACAACTTTTTAAAACAGTCAGCAGCTGTCTACAGGTAATTGATTCATGGACTAACAACTGAATTTTCTAAAGGATTAGATACATTAGATATTTTTCTAAGGTTACAGGCAAGAAGGCACAGAGTTCTATGTTTTCATTATGAATATCCTGTGTTATCAAAAGATGCAGAACATAAACAAGCTGTAAGGAATTATTGCTCAGCCAGAATAAGGTGAGTGCAAGGATACAAACAACTCTTACCAAACAGCTCAACACTCCACCCTGCCTGCAAAAATCTAGGAGGGAAAACCTTAGTGCTCTAATTTTTTATTAAATTAAATTCCTAACAAAGTTAAGAGCAGAATTTTCCTTAGATAAATTCTGGATAAAACAAACTATGGATGCAATATTGTTGAGGATTATTTACAGTGACTGCCATTTCCTATATTAATAAATAGGGATTTAGCTCCCTAAGCTCATTTGGCAATACTACCGAATAGAGATTTACCGCCCTGAAGCTCAGATGCTTTAAGACTTCAGAACTGATAAAATTCCAGCTTAAAAAAAAGCCTCGTAATACAACATAAAATAGACCTGTGCTTCTCCAGCATCCAAGGGTGAAAAAAAAATCCATCTTGGAAGTCTTAAATACTTTGTAATGTCACATAGGAATTAAAACAGTGCTACTTTTGATCCTTCAACAGTAATTTTGATCCTTCCTTCTTCCAAGTAGCCTGCTCCAGGGCTCACATGAGAGGCGATGGTAGCCAAAGGCCATCCGTTTCAGTGAAATGACTCCTTCCCCCCAGCCCAAGAGAGAGGGAAGGTCAGTGCCCAGAGGGCAGAGGGGCCACCACAGACCCAGATCAAGAGCGTTGGAAACAAAATCCAGGAAAAACACTGATGGAAGAGAAGCAGAGGTGTGTTATAACAAAAATTAGGAAAAGGAACAAGATGGCTTTGCTTTTCATCGGCAGCAAGAGAAGCAAACCCGGGCCTCCTGGGAAGTTCTAATGCTGTGGAGCAAAACACCCTGCCTGCGCTCATGTTTTATGCTCTTTCGCATGGGTCCAAATATCAGCTCCGAGGTCTGGTCTGGAAGCAGCAGACTGCTTCTAGTGTAGAGGAGAGCAGTAGTACCCTTTTCAACCCACTCCTGGGTGCATGTTCTGGAGAGGATGCCCTCTCTGTCCTTTTAGAGCAGAGACTGTGGGGTGGATCTCTCCGTTTCAGGACCACCCGACATAGGAGACTGCACACTTGTGTCACCATATGCTTTGGAGATCAAACATTTCATAACCAGACACAGAATAACCTGAATGAAAATACCACTTCAGGAGTTTGCTTTCTTCCTCAAGGAAGGTGAAGATGACAAGGCTACCCTGACAGGTTCTGAAAACACCTCCCAGCATCACATAAATACAGCCCCGAGAGGTCAGATTTGTAATTCTGCTTCTAGCATTTAGCTTGAGAAGCCAAGATCTTCTGGAGAAGTTCTGCTACTCTATTTCCTTTGAAATATTTAATGCTTTTATTTGATTTTCCAGGTTAGTTAAGACATCTGAACCCCTAAGAAATGTAGCTGATGAAATAAAATTATGAATATGCAATATCTTTCAAGTCATAAAATTGGCAATAAAATACTACAGACACTCCCTCCCAAAAAGACCCAAAACCCAACAGAGTTTATAAGGAGCAAGATAAATACTTTAACATAAAGATGGAGAAGACCCTTGTAAAAAAGAAGCCATGCTAACATCTAAGCCATGAGTACTACTGTACACTCTAATGAGTCGCTGGACAGTAGAAATGCGAGTTTGTGTTCTGCTCTCAATTTCTGACATCAGACTGCAAACTGGCAATGGATTGGATCAGCAGGAGAGGGAAGGAAACAACATTTAAAAGAGAGTTACTGCCCAAAAAAACATTTCCTCTTCCTTTAGGTGTGCCAGTCATATCAGTATCTTGATGTACGTCTCTCCTGGCTCCAGCCAAAATTAAGAGAGCAGCCAGTCCGTAAGAGGCCGAACTGTGCACTCACTTTCCCTGGGCTGTGAGCTGCAGTTGCACACGGGAGCACTCAGCAGCAGAACTGTGCTGCCCAACATTTCAGTAAGACTCAGTGGTCAAAAGTGAACTGTCACTTTAGGCACACTTTAGGATTTCAGTCCCCAGTCGCTTTCATAGATTCTGTACAACTATCGATGAGCTGCAGGTTCTGTGCTTTAATTCCCCACCTAAAGACTAAAGCAAAAAGACTTTCTCTTTCCAACCACTTGTGCTATTTGGATTTCCGGGAACTGTTTGGCCCAGAACATATCTTGAGAGTTTACAGGCAGGCTAGTACAGTCCCAACTGCCATTTTTAGAAGTTACCAAAATTCAAATAAAAGCAAAAGAGTTTTCCAGATATTGCAATAGCAACACATTCTCAATTCATTTAAGAGAGGGGGGGGGAGAAAGTGCATGTGCAAGCACACACTAAGTAATATTTTGAGGCAAAGCAAACCTAGAAGTCAGTGTTCTTTGCAGTCTTATCCCTCTGGTCCCAAATCACTGGAAGTATATAGACGGAATATTAAAAACTGCAGTTTTTAGGAAGCTGCGTGTCCATCTTTCCTTTAAAAGACTGTATTAAGGTATTTATGAATTTTATTTATTGGATTAAAAAATTTAAACCTAACTTCAGTCTCAAGGCAGGGATAATCCACCAAATCATAATACTGGCTGTATATACTCATGGGAAACAATATATTCTAAAAGAGAGGCACCACACACTAAGACCATAATAATTTACTAATACCATATAAAACCAGGTCTGAGTTCCTAAGTCTACATTAAAAATAAGATGACCACATAGAACCCAGGAGCTTTTGTTTTTTAAGCATCTTATTCACTCATCAGGAATGTGTAGTGTTTTACTAAACAGTCAAGCAAACACAGCCAAAACAAATTGTTTTGCTTGGCAGCCTTAAAAAAATCCAAATTGTTGAGACAAAGACTGCAGAGACACTGTCAAAAGCAACTTGTTTTAAGCACAGGCTGATAAATGCAGAGGTAAGAAAGCCAAGTTTAAAACGATTCAGAAGATGACCTTGCTTTGCTGAATGGACAAAACCAAAATAAATACGGGACCCAAAGTAGCTGCAGTTTTTGCTTTGTTTCCTGTGCACGCAGTGAGTATTTTCAGGATATTTTCAGAGTCAGAACGGAATCTTTAGGTCAGCAGAGACCAATTGCAAGGGCAAAAACAGAGCAAAGCACTCAAAAACAATCAAAGTAATTTTAGTCCATACAGAAAGGCATTGCCAAAGATGCACAGCATAGGAAATGTCATGATCTACTCTTTGAGGCTATGTCCCACATTCCTGCCAAAAGCAAAGCTCACACTGACAATATCTGGTACATGCACGGTTTGACACTCAAAACGTGCTGTCTGAAGACTGAGGCAGGTAACTGAATCCTTAGCCAAAAAAACCTAGCCATGCAGATTAAAATAATCCTTGAACAGCGACTATTACCACAAGTTGGGTTTATTCCTCAAGAACTAATATTCACCAGCAGTCCCCTACAGCACTGTGTTTTACATATTTGTAGACTAGATCAAAAAGGGAAGGGAAAACTGAAAACCTCAGGCGTTGCTCTTCTTTCCTTCCATGGCGGCAGTGCCATTTATGCCAGCTTGATAAAAATAACCACACAGAAGTGGTCTGTAACAAACAATTCTAATACCAGGCTGCTAAGGAAGGAGAGGAAAAGAATTAATTTCTGCCACTTTCATCCTATTTTTTAAAAAAACACCCCTCCCCAAAAAAACCAAACAAACCAACACAAACCCAACTAGGTCTTGTATAAAGAAGGATATTGAAGATTGTCTTTTAGTTTTAGATAAAGGAAATACAGTTTGCATACCACATTTTTTCTAAGTGCAAAAGAATTTTATCCTTTCTAAATCATGACTGGGCTTAGATCACTTCTGTAGCAATATAAACAGGGGAATTCAGACAGGGAGGCAGCAGACTGTCCAGGGGATTGAGGCTTGACACTTTGTCTTTTTGCCTTTTTGCTTGTTTGTTTTTAAACACACCTTGAAGGCTTCTCTTTTCAACAAGTATTTGAGGGCCTGCTGAAAGCAGAAGAAAGCTGAAGGAGGAAAAAGCTAGGAGTTACAAAGAGGAAAGTACAGAAAGGGCTCTCTAAAGCTGCCTTCACAACTTTTCTACTTGTATCAAGACCAATAAATCTTTATATGCACGTGTCAATTTTAAACATTTGGAATAAAACTTATTTTAGTTAATATCATGAAAGGGAAACAGATTCCACTTCTTCCCATGCTGCTCTGTGCATTCAATGTGTTAGCCGAGGTGGCAGACTGAAATAATATTTTCTGCCCACTACTAAATTAATTTAAAAAAAACTCCAAAACCAAACACACCAAACCCAGAAAGTTCTGAGTTTAGGAACAGCTGCAGAGAAATTTTATTTCCAAAGCCAGGCATGATTCTTGTTTTCCATTTATATCTTGAGGTCCGCGCTGAGCTTCACTGAATTTTTACTTCAAACAAACCAAGAAACCTCACAGTCTAAACTCAGCCAAAATGTCAGCTTTCATTTCACTTAAACCTGAAGCCATAAATAGAACGCCCTAAATTCATAAACCTGGCTTTAGCTCCAGTTAAAAATGTAACCCACATTTCAAGCCATGTTATGTTTATGAGGGCTCCACCCATGAACCATTCCCATCTATTCAATCTCTGGCTTTAAAAAGTCAGCTTACTTGCTGTGCCATGAGAACTTATTGCTTCCGGAGTATTTTCCCTTCTAAGAAGTGCTACACTTTTCTACTAAAAATATCAGTATTTTAAATGCTAACAGCTAACTCAGCGATTCACATTGTACTCTTTTGTTTGCCTTGTGTGAAGGTTTAAAGAGGGGTGAGGCAAGAACTCTAAACACGTATCAAACAGCTAAAAATGGTGGAGATATTCATGTGTTTTGTTGCAATGTAAACGACTGAGCACAAATGTGAGAGATGGCTTCAAAAAGAAAACACAGAAAGTTTACTTCTGATAAAAGTGAAGTTCTCAAGCCCTTCAGTGATGTTTTGCCCCAAACGACAGCGATTTAATTCACCGTTCTCTGGGTAAGTTTGACAGCCATGGAATTAGGGACTCCATTGCACGAGCTACCATGGGAAAAATCTGCCCATGGCTGTCAAATTTACCCAGAGAACAGAAGCTCCAAGCTGAAAACTTGCCCTCTCCTCTTCTCTACTCTTCTCACTACCCTCTCAAATTTTCCTGAAGTAAGTACAGACAAATACTGATTTTGCTGCTTTGTCTTCTTACAGTCTCAATACTAAAAATTTTTTTAAAACCCAATAATCACCTATTGGTTTTACTTGTCTGCATCTCTGCTTTCTCCTTCTCTGAAAAGCCAAAAGTGAATGTCACATTCCCTTCCGTGGGTAAACCAGAGCACATTCGTGCAAAGCTGCAAAAGAGCGAAGGGATTTCATCATCACGGCAATAACGTGGAAAAAAAACCCCAAACCAAAACAAAAACTCTGCATGAACGAGAGACTGGGACAAAGAATATTATGGAAAGAATAACCCAGCATGAGGTAGAGCTCATGGAATGGAAAGAGCCTGACAGCCTAAAATAACAGTGGGAATAGATCTGGCTCAAAAGACAGTGAACGTGCATTACGACACGTCAACACTATTAAACAGCTCATTCAGGTCTCTTCACTGTTTCCTCACGCTGGACCGACTGGGCAAGGTTACCTCATGGAGAAACTGCCTTCCAATATTATCTAAGTACTGGGTAGAGAAGAGATCAAAGAGGAAGCACAAAGCAGTATCTCCACCTTTGGAAATGGAAAACTCAGCAGGTGAAGGATTTGGCTGGAAGACTGACACAACATGGGGCACTGGGCGAGATGCAAAAGGAGGAAGCCACACAAAACAAACAACTTACACCCCATAAAGCCCAACAAAACAGGATCTCTAGAGCTTTGCTAAAGGAAAACATCATGCAACTTTTCCACCTACAGCTGTGGCACAGCTTTTATCTCTGGCCAGTAAGGAGGGAGGGGGAAGACGCAAGCACAGCTTGATTAGCTGAGACAAATAATTATTTCTAAAGCAACCTCCTCCCCACCTCACCCTTCTTCATTAGTCACAAGTGTTTCCATGTCATTCTGCAATCCTTCGTTCAGTACAGAAAAGCATGAAATCAGAGCATCTATCCGTTGTGGTCCCTCATTTTGAGACACCAGGAAGACAGTAAAGACAATCTTAATTGGAAAGAGAGAAGCCACAGATTGGGTTGCAAAACACTTCACTAGACATATGGGCATTTAAAAGCCAACTATCAGGTAAAGAGAAAATCCATCTGAGTGCAGATGCATCTCATCATGGACCAGTAGACAGTGTATTCCGGTAAACGCTATTTCCAGGAAGCACAAGTATTCAGAACTTACAAAATCCTATTGAGACAGAGCTTAGACATATCATTACAGCTGCCACATTCTCAAGACCAAGTTCTGGGGTTTGCACCAAAACTTAGGGGAGAGGCAACACCGCTGCTTCCAGCACATGATTTATTTCACCTTACTATCAGTGAGGTTCACACTGTTCACACTGCTACTCTTTTCTTGACAGCTTCACCCAAGTACACCCACACTAAAAGCCTCTTTAGTATTATCCTAGAAGCCTGTGGCTTCTTCTTCTAAGGGTCCTGAAACACAGGAGGGCTTGCCTGAGCTACCCAGCTTTCACTGCAGGGAATCCTCCATTGGCTCCTGAACCACCACAGTTTAAAATAAGGGAGTTTTAAGGCAAGGAAAGACTGGCAATGGTTTCTCTTAAAACAGCAGCACCGTAGGCTACAGGGACCCAAGAGTCTCATCAAGTTATAGGTTAGGATCTGCACAGCACAGATGGGGTGGTAGCTACAGGCGGTGACCTTGAGCAAGGAAGGCTGACAAGTCGTCTAGGGTCAGCCAGATTAATTCAGTATTCATTGGCATTTCCAAATAATTACTCTGTACTAGGCTAAGATTATATTCATAAGCTCATACATGATTATCTACATAGTTCAAGGGCAAAAAATGGAAGGAACAAGGGAGGAGCAGCTTTCTGTGGCAGATAAAGCCACAACACACAAACTCTGAAATGTGCGATTAAATTAACATGTCCACCATACCCAGCTGAGAAAGGCAATGAGCTGTGGTTTTGATTCTAGATTTTTCTTTGACAAGAAGAATTAAACTTAGTTTCCCACCACAGATATGGCACAACTGTATTTCCTCACACTGCACTTTCAGAAAGATGGAGAACTCTGGCTTTGTGTTAGCCTGATGAGAATCCCGTTGTAAATAATGCTTTAACAAAATACCAGAGATAAGGCAAAGGAAAAAAACCCAACAAAACAAACCCAACCCACCACAGCAAAATACACTATTTTTGTACTGAGCTGTCTTGTGGAGAGGCAATAACACAATGCTACTAGCATAGCCCCAGGCTAACAATTTTCATTACATTCTAGTACATAACAGGAAGACAAAGCATAAGACAGACTTTAAGAAATAATTCAATGAATTTACTAAATACCTGTACCTTTCTCACCTTATTTCCTAGGTACTTTACTCCTGACCTCAGAAGTGAAATGCAGTTATACTTACACAGTATCTGAGACACTGGTCTTGCTAAACATGGAAAGTTGTTTAAAAAGTTTACAGTGAAAAATCAAATAATGAATCAGTTTTACACCTGCACTTGAAGCCAGAATATTAGTTCATGAAGTACATTTTGAGTGTCTGTTGATGTAAATCAAGCACACCAGTCCTGTTTTATTTTGCAGGATGGTCACTTTACACAGCTCTCACAGAACAGAGACGACATTAGTCTATCAAGTCTGGAAATGAAGATAATATAAATGCACAAACAGTACAAAATGACAAACCAACACTAAAAATAAAATGGCTGCATATTTACCTTCGTTTCCCAGGAGAACGGTGCTGAGTGTTCATCTTGCCAAGTTATGTCCTGAAATAAAATTCAAGAATGACTAAAAATCAGAAGAGCAGCTTTACCTGCTCAGGAGCATCATACAGATGACATTTTGTTGCACTGCTGGAAGCATAACAACCACTACCACAGAACTTGCTAAAAAGCGAGCGCACTACTTAAGAGCTGGCACTGGTTACATTTTAAGACTGACTCAAAGCAAGTTCTCTGAGGGGAAGATTATAGATTAGTACACCAATTTAACCTACAAAATACATAAAGGTTTAACTTGGTTTAAACCTCTTGAAACAGTTTCTCTACTAATAACTTTAAAACATATTATATTTCAAATTTTCTTTGGTAGCCATCAGCAACACACAGGGACAGAGCGAGCAAGGGGAGCAGGGACCTTGGGGAAACAAAAGTCCCGTTTCGTCCCCTCCGCAGACCCAAGAGCACGTGTGCAGCCAGGCAGTCACGTGGCAGCGAAACAGCTGCCATTAGGCCAAGCCACAGCTGGATCCAGCCCCGACAAGACACATCATTATCCCACTTCAATGACGAACAGACTTAAATAAGTATTTGGTGCTGTTGGAAGAACCACACGACGTCCAGAGTAAAATCCCAAGCTGAAATAGCTGCTTTTAAGAAGCTAATGTTCTGAAAAATAATTTCAATTTGAGAAATTTAAATAATCTCTTCATACAGAGCATACCCTTCAAAAAGACAAGCAATCCATGTGAAAAAAAAAAGAAGGGGTAATAAATAAATGAATGAATAAATGAATGAATGTTCATGGTTGTTCAAGACTTGCAACAAACTGATCACACTTCTATTCCCAGTCACAGATGAGACTTATTTGTACACTGGATGTTCACACGCTGGTAGAGGTTGTAAGTTGCACCTCCCATATTGACTAAACCGCTGCTTGGCCACCCCAGTAAATCAGAGGAGGAACAGACGTTGGAAGGATGGATGGAATGAGAAATGCCAGGAGTAACCATGCAGAGGGAAGGAGAGGACAGGACAAGACCTGGAGTGCTTGTCTCACACTCCTGCTGTTCAAAGAGTAACAGAACCAGGCCATGTTTTAGGTGGGCTATTACACAGGAACCCCACATTGTACCATGACTGCCCTTTTCTTCTTACTTCTGACCTCTACCTTTACAGAAATACATTTCTCAGATACCTGATAGCATTCTCCTGATCTGCTATCTCTTATTTCACCGTAAGCAGATTTTGCTGGCCAGCAGCCATGAAATCACAATTGGAAGTGCCTGAAACCATCTCCTAAACATGAAAATGTGTCATCCTCCAACTATTACTCCTCTGTGAAATGCAGGGTTTCTAGCAGCAAAGTACTTGTGGGATATACAAGGGTGATCCCATGCTCTAAAAAAGAACCAGGCTGATCAGAAACCATCTAAAAGGAAAGGCCTGGGCTCTGCTGGACCACACATTGTGGCCAAAAAGGAAATTTGGTACAGGAAATCTTTGTCAACAACACAAGCGTAATACCACGTTCTCTCATTCTAGGAAATGAATGCTCACGTTTAACATTTAAGGCAAAGGGAGTAAAAGTCTGCTTTTTAGTATCTGTTCTAGCTTCCATCAGTACTTGCACTGCAGAGCGCTGCTGACCACAGGGGTACACCATGTCCTTTAGGTGGGACACCTTGCAGCAGGTGAGTGTCAAATTATTTCAAAATCACTTTAGGACTGTATCCTTTGCCTCTGAAACTGGTGGAGCTGGCACTTCATTTCTGCAGCACGCATGACAGGAATCACAATCCAGGAGGGAGGAGAGACGGGAGGCAGGACCACAGCCCTTCTGTCCACGTAAGAATGATCAGTACTCGATTTCAACCACAGCAATTAAACACAGAAATGAAGCCCAGCCCCACTTCATAGGGTCTGATGCCTTCTCAGTCACCATTGCACTTGTTGGTCCTTCCAACTTGTAACTTCAGCCTTCAGGTTAGGTAGACAAAAAGTCTACCTGAAATGAATAAACGGTAATTTGGTATTGGTTGTTGAAAAGTTCTTGTCAGAGACAAAATCTAAGGCTTTCATAGATTATTTCAAAAGCTGGAAACAGCAGAGAAGCAGTTCCTTTAAAGAAAAGAGGATGGCTCATTGTATCTCAGGCTGCATAGCTTTGCCCACACTCAAGAGATCTTCCATGCGATTCCAGCAAAGGATAAAATCATGCAAGACATGGTTTGAGGATACAAAGCTTCAAGGAGTTGACGTCTGTCGTTATTTGAAGTGCACCTGAAGCGAGGATGAAGGAGACAGTGGTCAGGTTCTGTCCACTGCCAGGGAAGGGAAGGAAGTCTGTGGCCTCCACCTCTTGTGCCCACACCCAGAGGACATGCAGAGGACCAAGTCAGAAGTAGGACAATACGCTTCAATGGTTTCCTGTCGGATGCGCCAGATTCATGTTTATCACCAACACAATCTGAAAAATAACTTTGCCTTTTGTAAAACAAAAAAGTTCTTGTGTGCTTGAAGAAAATGGGAGCAAAAGCATAAACTATTTTAATACCCACAGAAGTACATGACGAGTGAAAATTCTAGGAAAAAAGGCTTCAAAGCTATGTATCATCAACAGAGATTAGAAGAGATCCATATCTGATCAGCTTTTGTTTTCAGCACACAACAAAGCCTTCTTCCAGAAAGGTGTCAAAGAAATAAACTTTTGTTCACAAGCATTAAAGAACCTATCTGTAAGAAATGGGTTGCCTCATGCAACATACTTCATAGCTAAAAAAAGACAAAAAACAAGAGAGAGAAAGGCAAAAATCCAGTCATACACTTGGCTTCAACAACCAGATGCAGTATATATAAAAAAGAATCAATCACAAACTACGTTTGCTATATATAGACAGCTTGTTGCAAAACTGCATCTGAATTTCAAAATGGAAGACACTGGTAGAAACGTGCCAGTGTATCTGACATGAGCAGCTGACAGTGGGCAGGCAGTCACAAACCCACCAACAAATGCATCTTAGAAGCGTTACATGAACAGGGCTTGATGGTTACTGAGGTTTAACGGCACTCAAAAGCAGCCCAGTATTTTTTGGTTTTTAAAAAGCACAAATCTGTAACAGGTCCAACATAAAAGTTGTTCGTAGATTTGGGTCTTTGTTACTTTAAAGCATTTTAAATAGGAGATTAAAGGGTCGATCCTTTGGCTTGGTGTCAAAGTTCTTAAGGCTAAGCAAAACAAATACCGTATCTGCCATCAGGTAGCTAAGTCAAGCTTCCCTATTAAAAGACGATGAATGAAGCCAACCAAACTCTCTTACCTGTCTTTCCTTACCAATTCTTAAAGTACATGGTATTTTCTTCAACTAAAAGTTTACTTAAGTCCAGTTCTCTGAGCCCCTCGGTACTGCTCAAATACTCAATAACCCTCAGCCACAAGGCCTAGGCTGTCTAGACACAGGCAATGATGGTGAAGCAACAAACTCGCCTGGTGACAGGCTCACGTGCAGTAGCAAGATCACCTTCAGCAAACAGGACAAAATTTATTTCATGGGGGTGTTAAATGACGCTCTTAGGCTGGATGAGACAAAAAGATACACAGGATCTAGACCACATGGCTCCAGAAAACAGAATAAGATAGAAAGGCGAGAGATGTTTGGTTTCATTAAGAGGAGGTGTTGGAAAATACCAGGGCCTGCAACTCCATCAAGGTCATTGGGCCAGTATATTCTGAGGTCTGTTTCACCTAGGAAGTCTTAACTTGACACCATGAGGCCAAGGGAGGACATGCAACTGCTGGTCTTAGCAGTTGCGTGCAACTCCACTGTGACAGCGCGGTGCACACGGGCAGATGCCAAGTGCTCTGGGCGCTATCCAACCCAACTCTGTGCTTGGGAGAGAAATGCTGTTTGGTGAACCAAGGAGCCCGATTCCTGGACTTGCGCTTCTTTCGTCAAGCTTTTTGAGACTTTTTAAAATACTTTAAGTTCTTTGATGGCAAGATGGCAGATTAAAAAAGTAGCTCTGATGTCTTGGTACTGACTCTCTTTAGGATCTTCATTCACAGTGCACGTACAGCTTCAGCTACTCACTCTGGGATTGGTAATGCCGCAGTGAGGGTGAGATACCGAAAGAGGAGCCATGGCACTCAGCTGACGCTAGGCATTTGCTAAGAGTCACACCTGGTGCTGCAGCATTTTAGCGCTATGAAATCACTGGATCATGGCTACAGGATGTCACGGTCCTGTTACTGTACACTGATTTTCTGTCACAGCCTTCCCACACAGGCAACATACTGAAAGGCGTTTCCAAAATGTAAGAGATGCATATATTTTGAGAACTTACAGTCCTGGGCTACAACTTCAGAAGATTAGTTTGGTGTTAGAAAAGATAAATGGGACATGGTTGGGGTGAAGAGATACAAGACCACTAGATATATCCTCTGGACCACATTATCAAAATGTTCACATGCATCAAAGTGAGACTGAAATGGTGAGAGTCCTGGATGGGTAAATCAGTATCTTCAGCTTTCACCTTTGTTTTGCTTTCTCCCAAGTCCTCCGAAGAACACGAGGTGAAAGAGATGAACTTTCCATGCTTAAGCAAGCACAGGTAGATCACTACAGATTTCAACATCAGTTAACAGGGAAGATGAGCTGCTGCTGGAAACATGAAGCTTTCGGAGCAGGTGTGAGCAAGATCATCAGACCAAAACACTCACACCGAAGGCACTGCAATGTCAACAAGTGATCCTGAGGTATGCAGGCTACTCTCCTTTTCCTTGCCTCAGGACGCCGTGCACCAGGAGACAGAGAGAGCAGCCAGGACCAAGCCCCCAGAGCGAGGGCTGGGTGACCACGGTGTGTGCAGCAGTTACGCCTTACAAAGACAGCAGCGGTTGAGCTCAATACGCTCTCAGACCAGGCGACAGCAAGATAATAAAGCTCTGCAGGCAAAGCATTCGCAAGCCTGGAAAGTTGAACTGAAATGGCAAGAGAGCGGCCGCAGTGGCTCTGTGACAGCAGGACAAGGAGGAACAATTA